AGATTTTATACTAAAGATGTAACACAGATCTGTGATAGGAGCAGAGGGAGGAAATGAAGAGACAAAATAGAAACATGCTCCTAACGTTAAAGGAGAACTCCAACAGCTAAGAAAGCATGAGAGCCCTATTATACAGATATTACTCCCCGCTGTGCTATAGCCTATATCATTGCAACTGCCAGCCCTGAAGAAGGGAACACACATCCCCGAAACAACTCGGACTTGGACTTACTCTTGGATCTTTAATATGTTATTTAGATACTGGCGGTCCTCTTCATTTCCTGCATCTTATTTGGACTTGTCCTTAGTGACCTTGTACTCGCCACAAACAGATAACAATCTCCTTATAGGTCAGGGGTAGGAAAGCTTCAGCCCTCCAGCTGTGGTTAAACCACAAATCTCATCAAGCATCTGTCTCAGGGAGTCATGCCTGTCACTGTCAGAGTCTTGCAATGCCTCATGGGATTTGACGTTGCACTATAGCTGGCGGGACGGAGTTTGCCTGCCCCCTGCTATAGAGCGTTTTGCAGATTCTGTGCCACTGCCCCGCCCCCATGCCGGCTCTCTGGACTAGTGATGGTCACATGATGCCTGCCATTTCTCTCTGTCTGCCTCCTATTAAAGAACCTCCTCTTCTCAGAACCTCCTCTTCTAAGGAGTTAGAGGTGGTCGGCCGCCGCTAGGTGGCGACAAGCATACTGGCCACTGGTTTGTAATAAAGCTTTTTATGGTGACGTCAGCAACCAGATGGTGGGGGCGGCAGGGTTAGTTTTAATTTTCTTTTTTCTTTATTTTTTTTTTACTTGATCATTTTTTTAAAACTTTTTTGATAATTTTTGTCTGATAATTTTTTACTTATTTATCGACTTATTTATTTGTAAATTATTTTTTAACTTATGTTTTTTTTAATTATTTTATAATTTTTTTATCAATTGTTATTTTAATTTTTATTTTATTTTCACTTAACTTTATTGCCATCACACAGGAGCCAACAATCCCCTGTGTGATAGCATTTGGAGGCGACAGGTTCTCTTTATTGAACCTGTCAGTTCCAATACAGGAGATTTCGTTCAGTACTGTGCTGGAACTCCTGTGACAGCTGAGAAGGGAAGGCTGTGAGTGCAGCTCTCCCGTCTCACTGTATACACGGAGCAGAGTGCTCCCCGCTCTCCGTCCTGAAGAGAGGCTCTTCGGCCGGCAAGGAGAGAGGTAGCCAGCGGGGAGAGGGATTTGGGGAGGACGGACGAGCAGGCTGCGAGGTACATTTAGCTCTGCTTGCCCAAAGCAGGGCTAAACGTACAAAACAATTACCCAGCCAAAACTTCATGTCCTGGGCGTCAGGCGACAGGAATCCCTGCCGCCTCGAGGCCAGGCCTCTGTTGGCCTTGTGGGAAAACCAGCCCTATTTACACAGGCATGATCACTTTGCCCTGATTGACCAAGGTGACACAGTCTTTTTTTTTTACTATCCATCACTTTCTTGCGTGTTTACCGAACGTACATCCTCCTCATTGGGAAATCTATTCTTATAGGATAAACATTCAAATGACACTCGGTACAGCTGAGGGATCTGCCACAAGTCTAATGTGTATGGGCAGCAGGTGTAGATTGATAGTAGAGGACGTAATCTCCTCAATAAGAATATTAGAAGCCTGCTCTATAAAAGATTATCTGGGTGATTTTCCTGGAACAGGTTATACCTCCCCGGCGGTCAGGCGGCTCCATCGGGCCATCTTGTGCAGCCAAAGCACCTAATCATTTCTTCCCCCCACAAACCCGAGCATCCTCCGTCTCCTACAAAGTCGGCTTTGTAAAGATATGCAAATAAAGAGCTGACTAAGGCGCTTACTTAAACGCCAAATTATTTCTTTTGATCTCTCCCAGCAAGACGTTTTAATATTAATCTGCACACAATGGCGAGGAAGTTCTGAAAGGAACGGAGGACTGAAGGTTTTCAGATATGTAAACGGGATTGTTACATCAAGTAATTCCAGGAGTTAATTAAAACTTTATAGTGAAGTCTCTGGTGGGTCCTCGGATCAACCTAGAGTAAAATGGCAATTAAACAGGCCGTTAAAGGCTCATAATGACCTCGTTTTGTTACATGAGGCGGTGGATGAGCCACAGTAGTGCAAAACGGTCCAGAGAAGAAGGCTCGGCTACAGGGTGGGAGTCAAAATTCCAAGAACCTCAACAGAACTCATCCTATTCAACGCGGACGCCATCAAATCCAAATTATTTCTGCATTGAGGGTTATCACAACAACATTTAAAGTATTTCTAAAGCCGGATCTGTAGAGTAGAGGAGGGTTAAAACTAGGGATGCACCGATACCGATTCTTGTATTGGCATCAGTGCCGATACCGGGTATTTGGGCGAGTACTTGTGCTCAAGAAGAAGCACATTAGTGTCATGGAGTGGCCTAGCCAGTCTTCAGACCTTAAATCGTATAGAAAATTTATGGAGGGAGCTGAAACTTCGAGTTGCCAAGCGACAGCCAAAAAACCTGAAGGATTTAAAGAAGACCTGTAAAGAAGAGTGGACCGAAATCCCTCCTGAGATGTGCGCAAACCTGGCAACCAACTACAAGAAATGTCTTGCCTCTGTGCTCGCCAACAAGGATTTCTCCACCAAGTACTAAGTCATGTTTTGGATGGGGATCAAATACTTATTTTACACACCGAACTGCAACTCCATTTATAACATTTGTATCATGTGTTTTTTCTGGAGTTTTGGTTGATATTCTGTCTCTATCATTTAAAATACACCTGTGATAAAAATTATAGACCCTTCATTTCATTGTAAGTGGGCAAACTTTCAAAATCTGAAGGGGGTCAGATCATTATTTTCCTTACTGTATGATCTTACCACCTTTAAGGGCTTGTTCACACGACGTCCGGATTCTGTCCTGACCAGATCCGTGCGCTCCTGCACTAAAAGTGCATCCCAATGTATACCTATGTGTTTTATGGGCTACAGTTCTCACGTGTGCAGTCCGGTTAGGTCACAACAGAAAAAATACTGCATGTCACATTTTGCCCGGTCCGGAAACGCACGAACGCGTCAAAAACGCACTAAAAACACACTGCACTACAGCTAAGAAAAAAAAAAGAACTGTCGGCATCCGGACCGTGGTAAAAACGCGTTAAAATGTGTAAAAACCGCATAAAAAAACGCTCTGCATGCAGAGCACCGCGTCTGCAGATCAGGACCAGATGAGGAATGGAAAATCGTGTAAACAAGCCCTTAGACTTCCAGTGCTTCCAACCCCTTCTCTGCATTCTCTTCCTAAAGGAGAACTATGGGGTTAGGGCTTTTCCCCATAGTTCTCCTTAGGGTAACGGGAAGACACAAACTAGCATCCTCCCGTCACCCTAAACTCAGTATACTGCGAGCTATACTGAGACGCCGCAGCTGAAGCGGATCCCGACAATTATGTCTGGATCCGGCCAGCTGCGTGAGTGACAGCTGGCTCTGCCGATCTAGAGGCAGAGCCAGCTGTACCCGCCCCCTTCCCCGTCCGTTCCGGCAGTCAGCGCTGGAGGATCAGAGCGGGGAGGGGGGAATCCAGCCCCTCCCCTGTCACAGCGGAGAGCCGTGACAGGATCGAGAAGTGAGCGAACGCCGGTATGTGTTCTCTCACTTCCCAATCTACTGAGCCGACCTGTGACAGTCTCATTGTCACAGGTCGGCTAGAACTATGAGGTGAGTGAAAAGCACTCACCTCATAGTTCTCCTTTAATGCCTTTCAGTACTCACCAACCAAACACAATATTAACACTCATCTTTGTAGTAATAATAATAATAATAATAAAAAATAATAAATCAGTTTCTTTATCTGGTGACGGATATGCTTTAATTTAACCTAGCAGGAATTCATCTAGCACAGAAGCCACATCTGATGCCTTACCTTATAAGCACAAGTTTCAGTTTGGAAGGCGCAGACTTAATAATGGCAGATGCATTCTGATGGCTTTTTCCAAACAAAATGTTATTGTTCAGCTGAAAAAAAAAGGGAAATTAAAATTGTGGCATCCAACATCATGTTTACGACCTGTAAGTTAAGTGAAGTGAATCACATGAGCTTCTCTTAACTTGGTACTAATCATCCCTGAAAGACTACAATGTAACCCTCTGCCTCCCCTTCCACTTGCAGTAGAACTATGACCAGGTTGTAGCCCTTTCAAGAAAACTTGGCCCTTTCCCCTCTAATAAAAAACTACTAATTTGTAAGTTATACTTAACTCTATAATGTCCATTTTTAGATCCGCCTCTTCGCTGCCTGCATGCCTACCACCCTTGCACTAGGGTCTGGAGGACACTAGGTAGTGTAAAAAATATCGATCACCAACTATTTCAATTCGATAAATACAGAGCACTGCACAGGGACCAAAAACATGAAGGCAGAACTGTGGTACGGAGCTTAGTTTGTAAGCTTATTTAGGGTTAATAATCATACATCATGTAGCAGCATCGAGTCTGCCTGCTATAAACAAGGTGAAAGGGTTCACACTGGTTTCAGCAGTCTGGATGTAGACAGCTCAAGGCCAGCAGAGGCATCAACAAATTGCGGCTTTCTGCGAGGGAAGACAGATAAAAAGGGACTTGAAGTTGTTACGAGACACTTACATAACCTGAAAATGTTTATACCTTGTTAGCAGAGAAAAGGAAAATTGCGGTTATATTGAACAAAGACTGGAATGTGTTTATGTGACATCAAAAGCCATTTTCCCATTTTCTAATCTAATGTCATTACATTACGGGCTCAGTTTACAAAAGATTGGCAAAATAAGAAAATATGTCCTTCTGCTGTACAACACTTTGCGCCAACCCCATTACTTCAGCATTCATTAACAAAGAACTCAATGGTGGAAATGAAAAGTGGAACTAGGAAAAGGAAAGGTCGCTTTCCAAATGTCAGCCACTTAAAATAATGGGTAAGTGTTGGGCGAAGCTGGCATCATTTATTGGTGACCTTTTCGGTCTATAGATTGGCAAAGGTAACTGTAGAAATCTATTTTGTTGTTGGGCGATTTCAAACAACGACAAAAACAACAAGAAACCCAGCGCAGCTTGGGAAATCATAAAAAAATCAAAAGCAACAAAATTGCAATTTGAAAAAAAAAACTAAACTTCCTTGTTACGACAGCCTCTTACCTCGAGACAGAGGTCGCAGGTCAAGGTTCCCCTGAGGCCAAGTGGTCATTTGGCAGAAAGCTTCTGGCACATGAGCCCAGCATTCACATCTAACACAGATGTGAATGACAGCCTGGCTTCCCACGAGGCACCCGTGCAGCCGCAACCTGCGAGTGATGGACAGGTACTCTTTCACGGCGCTGCACCGGGGAGAGATTACCCCACTGCCACCAACTAAAGATCAGGTTAATGGTGGCAAGTCACATTTTTAACTTTAAAGGATGTCATTGTCTTAACCCATAATGGGTCCAATCGTATAGCCGAGCTGCATGGGAGTCTGGGAATACAGCCAGCATTAGCTGCTGGCGATAACATACAGTGGGATTCCATCGCTAATACATAATGTATTTTCTGCTACCAGTCAGAGATGAAACAAGCAAAGCTTTATCCAGTTTGATGCCGTCAGTGCTCACACAGCAATAAATCTGCAGAATAAAATATTTAGGGCAAACCATGGAAAATGTTGCTTCTATTATTAAGAGAGTCCACAGGAATGCGATCTAATCAGTGAAATGCTATCCAGTAGCTGTCCAGACAGTTCGCCTTTAAAGAGGACCTGTAAATACGGAGGAAGCTGTGCTCAAATAGGCAAGCAGAGGGCAATGGACTATACACCATGTATTGCCTGTGGTACTCCTGCAGCACTTTTTCCCATTATTGTCATGTCTTTTTCTACACTCAATGGTGGAGGCAGCCATCTTGATAGAGGAGCTGGACATATGATTCCTCATGTCAGAGCTGCCCCCTCTGATGGCTGGTGATTTGATGGCTGGTGGGTTGTCAAGAGCAGATTGAAAACCAGACAAGCATAAGGTGCTAGTTAAAAATACTTTATTAAGAAAAGTGTCCACAGGAACAAGCAAAATCATAAACAGGAACAAGCCAAGGTCAGGAGCCGGAGTAGGTAGTCGTACAAGCCAGGTCAGGAACACGGAAATCAGGGTTGTCAGGAACAAGCCAGGAGCAGGAACCAGAGAACGTCAACCAAGATCAGGTCATACATGGACTCAGGATACACTGAGCAGCAGGAATGCACTAGCAGGAGAGACCATGCAAGGGCAAGGTCAGACTGGACTGAGTGGTTTAAATAGTGAGTGGAGTGACATCATCACTCAGAGACAGGAAACTCCCATCTGGCTCTCTCAGATGATGCTCCATGTTTGGCCATAAGAGGGAGCCTGGGAGTAGTGAGCAACGTTAAACAGTCTGCTCAGACAAAGGAGGAATCACAGGTGGGTGAAATGGTAGCCAAGTCAGAATGCTGCAAACCAGTTAAGTCAGGGTGGAACCCTGACAGGAAGAAACATGAAGCAGTAGATGTTCAGAAAGCACATATCCACAGAACTGATGAAGCAGATGCAGGGAGATCCTTGCATTGCAGGTCCTCAGGTACAGCTTCCTCTCCAGCGAGGAGAAAGTAGCTAAATCTCACTCCAAATCTGGTGAGATCACTTGTAAGAGGCAGTGGTGCCTTAGATGATCTCACAAAGCAGATCTACAGCTATGAGTCTACAGAACAGGAGAGCCCAAGCACAAGAAGTGCACTTTTATTTTTAAGGTGCAACTCAAGACATAAAAGTAGATGTCTTCACTTCCTGGGTTTTAGGTCCATTTTAGTGTTCTGTGCCAGCTGTTGCTGCATTGACTCTGCAAGAGCCAAACAGGCCAATTTGCCCGACTGGTGGTAAGAAGTCAATTTGCTATGGATCACCTATCCGTCAAGGGAAGCAACCTGATCCGTTAAGGGAGAATGCCTTTAGATGTACAAAAGTCTTCAAAAGCATCTCCCCAAAAATGAAACCTGTTGTAGCGGCTGTCTGTAATTTAACTTCAAGGCCTGTACAGATTTTTGCAGAAAAGCAATAAGCCAACCACATGAACTGAGATGTTCTGCAGACAATGCTTTGTTGCTATGGTTGCAAAGAAGACATGTTTGAAATTTTTGCCATTTGAAATCATGCATACCTCTCCAGTAGACAGAGTGCTAAAGCTTTACCCTCATGAAGAGCTCCAAGCGCCGCCGCAATCTGACACCTCCGGGGAGGTCCGATAGCCTGCCAACCCCTAAGGTCGCTACAGTGCACAGTGATGATTTAGGTGCTGTATCTGTGGAAAGAGCAACAGGATCCAGCAGGGGACACGTATCTGACACTCCTGGAAGTATTCGCGGCAGCAAGCAAAATCGGTGCCCCCTTTAATATTTAAAGCTGAACTTCAGGCACAGAACAATTATTTAAATATATTCCGCAACCACAAAGGGTATACATTTACTCTGTGTGCATCAAATGCTTTTGCAAACCCAGTTGTGCGATATCATCGCTGTCCTGTATATAACTTGAGCAGAGCAGTGGGAGGGTTCCAGCAGGCCCCACTCACTACAGGAAACTAGAGAAGGGGGTGGAGACAAGACCAGTCACCTTGTACAAGGAGAGAGAGCATCAGTAACCGGTCTTTATTACAGGAGGGGGAGGAGACAAGACCAGTCACCCTGCACAAGGAGAGAGAGCAGCAGTGAGAGGTCTTTATTACAGGAGGGGGCGGAGACCAGACCAGCCACCCTGCACAAGGAGAGAGAGCAGCAGTGAGCGGTCTTTATTACAGGAGGGGGCGGAGGCCAGACCAGTCACCCTGCACAAGGAGAGAGAGCAGCAATGACCAGTCTTTACTACAAGAAGCTCCTGCACAGAAATAAAGTTTGCACAGATCAGGAAGAAACACACAAAGCACACCAGGATTCATGTAAGAATACACATAACTTGTATGAGGACAATATCTGCTTATCCTGGTTATCAGCTTTAAGAACAGCCATGGCTTTATGAGCTATTGTCTGCAATGCAGAAAGGCCATTAAAGCCGAATGAATGCACTTGCTCCTTTATTGGCCATTTTCACAAATGTACATTGCTTTAAAAAAAAAAAAAAATAAGAACAGATACGCTGAGTATCTTTCAAAAAACAGAAGCTACAATAAAACTGACCAAATACCATTACAGCTCCCCTTCAGGGACTATACCGCCGCCGGCATGGCTATCAAGTTTAAAAGCGCTCTCTGCAAAAAAAGTAATTTCAACAATCCGATCCTTAAACAGCGAAGTCATTAAATACATACATTCGGCCCGATGTTTCAGCTTAGGGAAAAGGGGGGAAAAAAAAAAGTGATTTTAATATCAAACGCTTCCCATGCAGAACCCAGAAATACTGGATAGAGTTTTCTGCAGAGAGGAGAAGTAAAATATCTCATTTGCCTCTGTGACCACAGAACGGTATTATGAGTGCGCTCCTAGAGCCCAATTACCGGCTTAAAACGTGCAATATGTGCGCTGTGATGATGCGGGGAGTTTATACAATTATGGGAAAATCGGCTCGCGAGGCTCCCGTATGTAAAAGATTCAGGGCGTCTATAAAAAGTCAGCAATTTAAACGCTCGTTTGGAGTCTCGTGACGGCAGGGAAATATGTTTTTATAAGGAAGATCTCATGAGGGAGGAAAAAAATGTTCATTTTTAAAAAAGCATCCCAGCAACAAAACCCCCCCAAACAACAAGATTTATTAAAGTATATTTCCCGCCTCCCCTCCCCCCCAATGTTAGTGCAGGGAAAAGATCATTCAGTTCTCGATCAATAGAGCAGACGTCTGACAGCTGCAGTGTCACACGCCTGCTCTAATTATGGGGATGAGTGATTTCATCCTCCCCATAATTCTCCTTAAAAAGGAGAACTATGGGGTTAGGGCTTTTCCCCATAGTTCTCCTAAGTGTAACAGGAGGACAAAAACTAGCGTCCTCCCATCACCCTAGGCTCAGTATACCGAGAGCTGTAGCTCGCGGTATACTGAGACGCCGCAGCTGAAGCGGATCCCTACAATTATGCCGGGATCCGTCCAGCTGCGTGACTGACAGCTGGCTTGCCTATCTAAAGGCAGAGCCAGCTGTACCCGCCCCCTCCCCGTCCGTTCCTTCCCGTTTGGTCTGACAGCACTGTGCCTCTGAACCCTGCGTTATCAGCCCAACCTACTGGACTACAGAACTCCACTCATCCCCTGACTTTCTCTGTCCCTCTCATACAATGATTTCTTTCCCAGCAAAACAATACTGCTGCCTTGACTTCCAGCAGCCTTCCTACAGAATGCATGTAAGGAAAGGGCTATTGGGAGATGTAGTTCTGGTGATGATGTCACAGGGAGTAGTAAACAGCTGTTTGCAGCTATAGGAACAAGGTGAAAGATAAAATAAAATAATGCTTGGGCATTCTCTAGAAGGGAAGAGATTGACTTGGAGTTAAATCTGAGTAATGCCTAGATACCTTTTAATTGCAGCAATTGTTTTTAAGATTGAGACACAAGACCCAAAGCTCAACAAGGAACCACACACATCTCTGTCAAGCTGCTTGGCATCATGGCATACATCTTGTTTTTCTCTCTCTTTAATCCCAAGAATCCACAATAAATGTCCAGAGACACAACCCACCACAGCTCTGTAAGGGAATACACACAGCCCTGTTTACCTACTCGAGGCATCCATCTTTTTTTCTTGGCCCTTACCCACAATGGACTGGACACTTTGGTGTTGCAGGAACCCAAAGCCCAAAAACATTCAATAAAATTATGATAGTAGCTATCCAGCTTGTCTCCAGTCTTACCAATGAGCAATAGTGCAGAGAACCCCTGGAGAACACTGAGCGGCCATTTTAGCAGAGTGGTCTGTAATACCACATGTACCCAAGAAAGGCTCACCTCCAATAATTCATCTCCAACTTGGATTCTCCCGTCTCTTCCGGCAGGTCCATCCGGATTTATGGCTACCACGAAGATGCTCATCTGTGATCGGTCCTTGTTACCTGCCAAACTGAGGCCAAGTCCATTTTTTTCCTTCTCCAGCTCGACAATGTGCAGCTCCCCCGGAAGCTCAGCATATCTCTGACTTATTTTCTCTAGTGGGACACAAAGGAAACTGAATTAATATGTATACAGCAAATGTATACAAATATCTAACACATCTGGATGTGAGCTGGACACCAGAAACTAGCTACTAAAGCTGGCCATACACCATACAGTCTCTGTTAGATCCACCAACAACTATGTAGTGCAATGTCCTGCTTGACTTGACACAAATTGATTGGAGAAGTTTAGATAGGTGCTCATATTGCATAGTTTTGATAAAAGCTGGATTGCCTTTAATATAAATGCAGGCTCCACTTCCTGCTCAGTAGACATGTAAGCTGCGGAAAAATTTGGTCCAGATATTTAGTTACTTAGGAATTCGGATCCGAAATTCAATTCTGTTCGTGTTTTGGACGAAATTCGAATTTTCGTTAGTTTAGAATGTGTTTACGAATATATATTGCGAATACCACAGAAAACCATATACAGATACTAATACTAAAGCTGAAGCTCCCGGACCCAAATGGCATTCGGGATCCGAAATTCGGAATTGCATTCAGGAGCTCGCGAATGCCATTCAGGTCTGGGAGCCTCAGCTTTAGTAATATATGTATATGGTTCCCAGACCCGAATGGCATTCAGGAGCTCCGGAATGCCATTCGGAAATTCGGATCCCGAATGCCATTTCGGGTCTGGGAGCCACATACATATATTCCTAAAGCTGAGGCTCCCAGACCTGAATGGCAGTCGGGAGCTCCCGAATGCAATTCTGAAATTTGGATCCCGAATGCCATTCAGGTGTAGGAGCCTCAGCTTTAGTATTTATATATATATATATATATATATATTTATTACACACACACATACATAATATATATATATAGAGCGCCCATGTCGCGTAATGAAAATTCGTATTCAGACCCATTCGAATGCAATAAACCGAAAAACACATCTGATTGGCCAGAAAAGTCACATGTCCGATTCAGTTTCGTTTTTGAACGAAATACGGACAGAATCCGAAATTCGTAAATGGAAATTCAGACACATTTGGATGCGTTGGGATTCGGAAATTCCGAATGTCCGAATTTTGATTCGGAACAAAACAAAATCGCACATGTCTACTGCTCAGGAATTTTGCCTTGCTGTTCCTGTTTCTCGCTGCAAGTCTACCAGTATCAGGTTTGCTGAGTGAAAACAACGTGCTGATACTTCATCTCAGCAGCCGTTGATGAGTAAAATACCAATATCTGCTAGTGGGAGAAATGGCAGGAATATAGGAAATAGAAGGGAAAGAAAAATGTTGTCTCAGATGCCCTGACAAATGAGATTGTCACCGTGACGCTTAACCAGCGACTCGCCATGTGCCTGCAGAGAAATAAAGCACCATAGAAAGGGATCAATCCTTCCGATCAATAATCTGGCTCGCCGAGGATGCCAATAGACACCACTTAACACTACTCAAGGTCTCTCACAAATGGCCGTTGCTATGGTTATCAAGACTGAACAGGTGAACCAAATATACGTTGATGGATGAAGGTATTTAAACGTGGAGAAGATGTAATTTGCTTTTAGATGAAATGCTGGAATCTCGGAGAAAGTAAGACTATGTATTCTTCGAGGGACAAAAGGATTGACATTGAGCCTGAAAGGCGCATTGTGGTTTGTCATATGGGACCAATAAAAGGGATGTGATGTTAACAGAGGCAGGAATGCAAGATGGCAGCTGGTGTACAGCAAAGCAATTCAATTTCTCAGGAAGGCCTCATCAGGGGCTCTACAATCCAATAGATGGGAGCATTCCATGAACAGCAGCTACAACAGCTGCACGAGGTGATGCCAAAAGCCAAGTCTGGAATTTCAGATCACAAAAGCAAATCTTAAGAGGAAAATATGACATACATACATCAATGCAGCCCTGTATTCATGGATACACCATTACAGGTTCACAAAGCAAGCTACATGCACCGCTCCTCCATGGTTAGGACAGGGCAATCCGAAACAGTGCTTGCTGCCAGGAGTGTGTCCTCACTCAGAATCCAAACAAGCAAAAATCGGACGCACACCAGGTACACACTGGAACCGTTTATTGTACGTTAAAGCAGCATAACTATGTCCCGCCCAAGGTCCACCCATTACTGAGGCGTTTTGCCCAATCAATGATGTCCACAATTAAGCCTGTGATTGAGTAAAAAGTATCAGAGGGGGTGGACATTGGGTAGGACAAGCTTATGCTATTTTAACTAAAATAAATAGTTCCAGTCAGGGGCATCCCCATAATGAGGCAGCCTGAGGCGGAAGGGTCAGGCGGCATCTCACAGGGGTGGCAGGAGTGGGGGGAGGACCGCAGTAAAGTGATGACAGCGCGGCCGCCGCTCCCTACTTCTCCAGCTACTCCAGCTACAGCGTCCCATGTTGCAAAGAGCTCTTAGCAACCTGTGATGCTCTTTCTGGATTCCTGCCCAGCTCACTTGACATCATTGGTTGCCAGGGAGCAGAGTGTGATGTTCTGGATGGCATCCCACTGAACTCCTGGCAACCAGTGACATCAGTGAGCTGGGTGGGACCAGACAAAGAGCTGTTGACAGCACGGCTCTAACAAAGCCCCCCCCCCTCCCCAGATGACAGCCATCAGCAAAGCCCCCACAATACCCATTCCCCCATCGCTGCCTTAGAACCACTATCAGCAGCACGCAATCTGCCCCATGGCCTCAGGTGGCATATAGGGTAGGGACAGCCCTGTCCAAAGTTGGTATAGAGGGACTCGAAGGTCTTGCAGTGGAGTAGAGTGGAGTCAAAGCATTAGCATTGTATTTTCAATGGTGCTCAGTCCATCTTTATCACTGACACTGTCACACAGCTACACAAAGTTTTAATTAGGGTGATGAAGGGAGGGGTGGAGGAGCTAGACCAGCACAGACAGTAATTAGACACTCCCACAAGAGGTGGGGGCTATGACCTGCACTGAGCAAGAGCTCTAGGGGATTCCCTAGGGTGGGCTAGGGAATTGACTCTTCCTGAAGTAGTCAAATTTGTTGGCAAGTTTAAAGGCAAATTGCAAATTGATGAAAATGTTTATGGAAATGAAAAACACTACAAGTATGCATTTATGATAATAGGTTTTTGTGCTTTTCCCTGCAATTTTTTAGATTTACGTCAGGTTCTCTCATGTCATAGGTAACGGGGAACCTGTGATAAGCTTGAGATCTGTATACTGTACAAACATCAGCTGCCTGCATCGGTGTATCTGCTGACCGTTCTGCCCGGCAGTAACATCTACTGTAGCGTCTTCCATCATCTGCTCCGGGTGAATCAGTCGGGTGTGTGACGGGTTTACTTGGAGATATTTCAATATTAACGGTGACAAATGATACTATTGTGAGCCCAGAGGAGATCCCTAAACACAACAGGCACTGAACAGACTTAATTAAACCTGACGGGCAGCAGCAACACAAGCAGCCAAAGGGGTGGCCATGACAAAAGCGTTGTAGCACTGCGGCGCCGGCTGCTAACGACTCGTATGGGTAAGGTTAATGTCCACATAAAATAGATAATGATGGAAAAGCCGGCTTCTCACTGGAAGAAGAGAAAGGACAATTGGAGAGCAAAGTACTCGGCTGAGGACAGATTCTAAAGAACTGAAGGGCGAATTTCACTGCTGCATGCGTCAGTTATACAGAATAATCAGTTCTTACAAATCCTGGTCCTTACATGTGACATCCCTGAGAATGCAGCCTATCCATTCACTAGAGAGCGGTGACATCACTGAGAATGCAGCCTATCCCTTCACTAGAGAGCGGTGACATCACTGAGAATGCAGCCTATCCCTTCACTAGAGAGCGGTGACATCACTGAGAATGCAGCCTATCCCTTCACTAGAGAGCGGTGACATCACTGAGAATGCAGCCTATCCCTTCACTAGAGAGCGGTGACATCACTGAGAATGCAGCCTATCCCTTCACTAGAGAGCGGTGACATCACTGAGAATGCAGCCTATCCCTTCACTAGAGAGCGGTGACATCACTGAGAATGCAGCCTATCCCTTCACTAGAGAGCGGTGACATCACTGAGAATGCAGCCTATCCCTTCACTAGAGAGCGGTGACATCACTGAGAATGCAGCCTATCCCTTCACTAGAGAGCGGTGACATCACTGAGAATGCAGCCTATCCCTTCACTAGAGAGCGGTGACATCACTGAGAATGCAGCCTATCCCTTCACTAGAGAGCGGTGACATCACTGAGAATGCAGCCTATCCCTTCACTAGAGAGCGGTGACATCACTGAGAATGCAGCCTATCCCTTCACTAGAGAGCGGTGACATCACTGAGAATGCAGCCTATCCCTTCACTAGAGAGCGGTGACATCACTGAGAATGCAGCCTATCCCTTCACTAGAGAGCGGTGACATCACTGAGAATGCAGCCTATCCCTTCACTAGAGAGCGGTGACATCACTGAGAATGCAGCCTATCCCTTCACTAGAGAGCGGTGACATCACTGAGAATGCAGCCTATCCCTTCACTAGAGAGCGGTGACATCACTGAGAATGCAGCCTATCCCTTCACTAGAGAGCGGTGACATCACTGAGAATGCAGCCTATCCCTTCACTAGAGAGCGGTGACATCACTGAGAATGCAGCCTATCCCTTCACTAGAGAGCGGTGACATCACTGAGAATGCAGCCTATCCCTTCACTAGAGAGCGGTGACATCACTGAGAATGCAGCCTATCCCTTCACTAGAGAGCGGTGACATCACTGAGAATGCAGCCTATCCATACACTAGAGACCGGTGACATCACGAGAATGAAGCCTATCCGTTCAACGCACACACATACTATATATGCACACACACATTACATAGACACACACATCTATATATTTTAGTGGTGTGTGTAGATGCTGGGCTGGGGTTTTGGTTAAAGTCTTGCTCCGACTCTGCAGTCCTCAGGTATGAAGATGAATGTTAACACAATTCCGTGTTCCGTATTTCTCAGCATGATTTATTCCCCTCTTGAATGCGCGAAATGCAGAAATGTAATTTTTCTTTGTATTAT